GTCCCGTTGAAGAGTCCTCACTGCTCTATATCTATGAGTCAATCGTCGGTAAGCCGTTGTATCCATCGTGTAAAGGACCCAACTCGAATTCGCACTGAATTAGCGTTCTTTTCTTTTCAATTCTTTGACGATGGTAATGTCAGTCTTTAGTCTTATAAGGACATCAACCAACTGGGCAGCAGCACCTTCCCATTTAAGGGATTGCAGATGAATCTTAGCTCTGGAAAAGGGGAATCCTACTGATTTATCCGCTCTCTCTTACGATCAAGCCCAATTTATAAACACAAAAATGTATTTAACAAACGTGAATAGCCACAGATCAATGGATTGCAGTGCATACCAAAATGTGATTTGCTTTTGTTGCCCACCCAGATTTCATTAAAAGCCAATATGCAAAACAATCAACCGAAAACAGTCAACAAATAAATAATAGCCAATAGCTCACATACTTAATTAATCAATGACAAAAAGTTTTTGAAAGAAAAAAAAAACCATATTAACGACGAAGAAACACAGCACAGTTTAAGCAATAAACGAAACGCGTGTTAAGTCATAAATAATATTCGTAAAACGTACATACATACATATGTATGTATATGTGTCTCAAGATGCTGGAATATGCTTAGCGGTTTTACACGCTTATGCTCATGATCGAAAAGTTGTTTTGTTGGTAACAGAATTTATATACGTAGCTCAAAAACAAAACGCACAACAAACAAAAAAACATACATACATATATACCATATTATAAGATATGTTAGATATTTCACGGCCTTTCACCTAGACAATACACACGAGGGATGTTCAAAAGTGTTCGATTATCGATTCTTTCTAGTTATGTTAGTGTACTCGTCTCGATGACATACATATATTTATATATTGTCAGTTTCACTTATGTACATATTGTATATAGCATGTTTAGATCAAATTCTTACAGTAGTCCAGGGGCTAAAGCTAAATGAAAGGCTTCGTTAACCATAATGGGAATTATGTAATTTATGTCAAATATGACGCCGTTCAGCTCTATAACCTTTTAGCCATTTTAAAAGCAATTTCCTAATGCCCTCTCATAGAAGCCCTGTTGCTGTTGTTGTTGTTGTTGTTGTAACCGCAAAAGTATTCCCCAAAGGGAGTGACAGTCCTTGGCTGTATAAAAATCCGCGTCGTTTCGGTAAAGACCCGACTGTCGCGGGAACTATTGGATTTTAGTCGCCTTATACGACAGGCATGCCTTACCACGGGTAAATTCTTGAGCCCTTAACCCGCAGGCGGTTCATAGAAGCCTTCGTTACCATTGGTAAAAAAAAAATGAGAAAGTCGATTTTTACAAGTCTCTCTTTATGCAAAGTTTTGACCAGCAAAATTTTTCGAAATGGACAGGAACAGATGGTACCACTTTGTGCCAGGTCCGAACTATAAGGTGGAAGCATAAAAACCTCCCAACCAAGCTACCTGAACTTCTAATGAGTTGCTATCAATGTGTATGGTCCGGCGTTGACCTCATGAAACACAATTTTTCTCCTGTTAGCCAAAGCTTACTGCTTAACGGCTGCTTCTTTCAGATGATCTTGTACTTCTAGGTCCGGATTAATAGTTTGGCAGTAGGGTAGCAGCCCAAAATGGATGATTTATTGTTAACCCCACCAACTATTATACACAAGAAACCCGTCCTGAACATAAATCCTGGCATGGATACCGTTACTGCCCTTCTAAAACGACCGTTTCCATTTGACTTTACTGTAAGTAATCCACTTTTCATCTCCAGTCACAATCCGGTATAGCAGCAACTAGCGAGTGGAAATCCGCCAATACATCAAGCTTCTTTCAAGTGCCTTTTTCAAATGGTTCCAAGCTGTTGTGCGATGTTTAGCAATAAAAAACAGTACTCCCATCCCATGATGGTCAGACTCGACGATTTCGTTCCACACCACGGAACATCTTTTGCATACAAAATACCGGAACACAATCGACGAAACCAAAATTGTGCAGTATTGAATCTAACAGATAGCACTATAAACATTTCCAGTTGTCTAACTGGCGTTTTCGCCTTTATCGAAGAAAAACTTTATAGCATAATTCTCTTTGCTGGTGTCTATCTTTGACACTTTCCCCATTATCTTTTTATAGTAAAATATAATTTTTCTAACGCCTTCTAGTACATCCGATTGCAAAGACAATAGATTACTTTTTAAATAGCTAAGATGTAAATTACAAATGTTTCGTTGAGAATACCATCAAGTCGATAAGGGAATTAAATATCGGATGGCTCCCACAAATTCATATACGTGTATGTATAACAAATAGGCTGAAATCCTTCAGAGAAAAGTAGAGCAGTAGTTACTGTACGAGTTTTGCTGCAGGCAAATTTCAATGTATCTTTATCTTCCGAGGGGAAACAGTTGATTGACTTTCAATTTGTTTTTGTTAAATCGAAAAAATACCAAATTCTTTGCAATAACTGTGTTAGTCTTCCTTTTAAATTTTAGAACGATCGGCTAAACTAGAGACGCAACGCAAACGGAAATTCGCCATGTGATTCTCTTCGATTTTCGGCGTAATTTACAGGCAATAAAAATATTCAGTGAATGCTAAATTGCATGTGAAACAATTGCACCGTTTCTAAGTGGTTCTGAAGATTTCAGACCGGACAGTTTTCCATAGTGGACTATCCCCGAGAAGGTCGACAAAAATCTTAAGCTGATGACGTCACTGTAGCCCTGGTGAAGTTCAAAACTGACGAGGACTCATGATTGACACAAGAAAAGATTGCTACTGAATTGGGCTTGAATGCCATGGCTGTATCGCCAATATAAAGTAATCATTTGGGATACACGAAGAAATCTTATCTATGGGTACTACGCATTTTAAAAGAGGCCCAAAAAGCAGCAACAGTACATTTTGCTCAATTTTTTCCCAAACAAATTCGAAAATGGCCAGTCTAGCAACTTTAGTAAAATCGTTACTGGTGAAAAAACTTGGTTCAATAAATACCATCGAAAAAACAAAGAGCCGTCCATGGCATAGAGTCCCACAGGAGCAGGCTTATGTATAAGACCCGTAAAATCTAAGCAACAAAAATCACCCAATCTAATAACGTAGCTGCTATTCCACAACGGGTCAGAGGGTAACGGCAAAATGGTATATCGAAGAGAGCTTACCAAAAGTTTTCAAAAATTTGTTGGAAAACAGCAAGAAAGAGGATTTGCGGCGCTACTTTTTGCATCATGGCCATGCGGTCCAGCACCATATCCACCGGATATAGCACCTTTTGACTTCTGGTTATTTTCAGAAATAAAAAAAATTTCAAAGGAAGGGTCTTTAATAGTAACGAGAAGATAATGAATGCGGTTAATGCTGAACTTGATAAGCATAAAAAGCAAGATTTTGAAGACTGTTTTCAGAAGTGGATCTTTAGACTTAAGAAATGCATTGTAATCATTGGCGATTATGTACAGAAGATAAAAATGGACAAAAATTACGAATAAATACAAAAATAATTTTTGTTTTCTTTTTATCTGGTCAACTTACCGAACTTGTTTTAATACCCTCGTATGTGAGCAACATAAGCTTCATGCTTAAATATCTGCATTATCAGTTGTACAGAAAATATATGATATAGTCGCCCGATTCGGTTGGTTTCGACAAGTGATTAATAGAATACAATAATAGACCTACATAATTCATAAGCCTTCGCAAAAGATTACGTTTAAATAGCCGAATGGACAGACACTTAGTCATTGCTAAATCAACTCAGCTCGTCATTATGCTCATTTCGGTATAAATTATGGCAACATCTCTTTACCTGAAGGTTCACATTTTTCTTACAGGTTTTAATTAGCACCCAATTTTTAGAGTAAAACAGGTAAATTGAAGTAAGCGCACCCTAAAAAGTGGTTCTAATTTCTTAATTTACCTCCTTTCAGAAAATGTTGTTATATTCAATGAATATTGTATATTTAATGCCCTCACTAAGGCGTCTGCACTAGATTTGAGTTTAATGTGCGAGGAGTACACGCCGAAACTGTTTTAGTTAGGTCTTTATAGAAGACTCCATTTTAAGATGCAACCAAAACCGTTTCTTATTCGGTTCCTCGCCAACTTAACCCTTCTTTATTTGCTTAATATTAATTTCATATCTTTTAGTTCTGTTCCTAGATTCTTTATTCATTTATAACAAGACTTATCAAGAATGATCCATCTAGCCGCTAACGAGTATCTTTTAAATTAATAAAGTTTTTTTAATAAAATATATATTGTAATTTCGAGTTCGAACAAAAAATGTGAAACTTTAAGAACTATCCCTCAGGTTAGAGAGCAAACACAAAACACGTAACTCAACCAAGAGGGGGAAGCTTTGTAGGTAGTTTTCTTGTGTCTTATTATTTAACTTTTACTTAAGGTTACGCTACTTCCGGCAAAGAAGAGAGTGGCCAAAGAAGAAGAGACGTTAGGCTACTTGAAGGGAGCGAAAGGCCTCGAAAGGGCTAAAAAATTATCATGTGGTCTATGGACAACTCTTTAAAAATAATTTACGACATACGAGTGTACCTTTGAATCTTATATTTACGAGAGAATTAGGGGTCGCCCGATTTTAACTCTTTCGAGTAATGTTTTACCGCACACGGTAAAGCCATAAAGGCATTCGACTACAAGAAGATTTATCCAACTACAATTCACAGAGCAAACTGTAAATTCGTTTAAGTAAAACCGAAGCTTCAATTACCATAGAAGAAGATACTAGACGCGTCGCTATGTCTTTATAAAAATTCTGTATAGCTTAATATCTTTACAAATATATACATTTACAAAAGAAACAACCATAAGAGCAACACCAGTGGAGACGCTGGGGTTGATATTTAATTCAAAGCTGGCACTTTCAAATAGATAAAGGCAAATTTTTCATGTTATTTATATGGATACGAATAAGTAGATCAAAAGTATCGTGTTGAGTGGGCGGCCGAGCGCATTTGTATGTGTACTTAGTCGACGAGAATAAGCACGCGTTGATCAACGATGAGGATCAACACAATCTTATAATGGACTTACAGATAATGCTCAATGCTTGAAGTGACAAGTCGTGATGTGTAAAACTAACGAGAACAAGGTTTTGAACGGTGGCATAAATGTCCTTTAAACAAGATTAAAGAATGGATATTGACAGCAGAGAAGCCTAAGTGTGCCCTTTTTTATGCACTCACATTTTTTTTATTAAATGGATTGCTTTTAAGCGAGAGTGATTAAACTGTGATAAAGAACTCGTAGATATGGCATTCGACAATGTGCAACTGCGGAATTAATGTGATTTACAGTAATCTTTTAACTGAAAAACATTCAAACATAACTGCAGTTTGTCTAATGTAATGTAATATCCAAAAATTTAAATGTATGTATATATGCATGCAAAAAAATTGTTTAAGAAATAAACTAGTTCAAAACGAAGACTAAAAGTGGAAAAAGAAAGAGAAAGACACAACAAAAGGATAAATATAGGATGAGTTGGCGAATTCCATGACAAATTTAAACGAGGAAAGTTGGTCTAAATATCAAGAATAAAATCTGAATACTACAATTACTATCAACCCTTATATCTGCACATTATGGAGAATTCTTAAGTAATTTTTATTAAAATAAATTCAATAAACTCAAACAAATCTAAGAACTGTTTACAATCCCGCAAATAATATTGAAAATCTGGGTCTCAATATCACAAAATTACTCATATGTACGTCAAGGTGTGTTGTCTAAATAATTACAACGTAACAAATTTGGAAATTAGGGCTTAGAAAACTGTAAAACTGTAGATGATGACACATAGGCATATTCAGCAAAAAGTGTTCGGGCGTTATTTTTGCATTTTCCATTTTCAAATCACATGTATTTTATTTTAAACCGGCTTGTTTTTTTTTTTTGAAAGTTTTCAAATCAATTTGTGACAATGTTATGGAAATCACACAAATTAATTATTTGTAGTTAACAATCGATCAAGTTTCGAATTTTAAGTTTTAAACTATTTTATATTAATAATAAGCAATCAAAAGTTATGAGGCTGTAAAATAATGAATGTAACGTGATTAACTTTATTGTCTAGAAGATTTATGCTTTGTTTTGGGCTAAAGAAAGCACCAAAAATATATTCAAGGACTTAAAATTAGATAAGAGCCTTCTGCTGAGAACTTCGACTTGCTGATAACTTGGATGCTATGGTGCGTACTCTCCTTCGATTAAAGTGATTATTTTATTTAATACTTCCTAATTTCTCGTGCGACGAACATCCAAAAGTTATAGAAAATTAATTTAAATAAAAAATTATGTTAAATTTTCTAAACGCAGTCGTCCCTCGGCAGGGAATCTCCGAGTGTATTTCGGACATGTAATAAAGGCTTCTCATAAAAAACCATTACCCGTTCGAAGGCGGCTTAGTATAAATTGTAGATCCCTCCATTTGTTGGAAAAATTTCAAGACGCAAAACCACAAATCGGAAAAGGAGCTTGGCCAAAAACGCTTCAGCGTATATATAAATATCTCAAACTCACTTAGAGCGTACTTTAACTTAATCAACAAGTTAAAGTTCGCTTTTTCACCTTGCGCTGTTTCAATTCTTTAAAAGAAATGAAGAAGAAAACACTATGTTTACCGAGAATGCTATAAACATAATTTCGAGCGATTTTATTTTAAAGGGAAAATACTTCTTTAAGTTTTAGGTAAGATAAAGCAGCAAAAATCAATAAATAATAGAGGATTCCTATTATTATGTTTTTGCTTTAGAATTATACAAATTGTGGAGAGCCCTACAGCTTATACTAGCCGTCTATCATAATTCTGTAACTGGTGGAAAAATACGAGCATGTAAGTTGTCAGAATATACGTATACGTGACAGCTTGGAATGATTTAGAAATGGGATACTCAAGAAATTTCTTTTCGAATCATTCTTGAATCAACCCATCAGGCGATGAAAAATCATTTAAAAAAGAATATAAAATGAAAAATGTATGTCCTAATGCAAGTCACTCTCCACAAGTGGCTTAAAAGTCTGAATTGACGGCAAATAAGTTGATGTTGAGTTATTGATAAATTTGGCAAAAAGGTCATTTCTAGCTCTACTGATAATTACTGACTAGATTTTAACAAGCTGTTGAAAAAAAGCATCCAGAATTGCTCAATAGAAAATGTATTGTGTTTCGTCAGGGCCACATTAGAACTCATACATCTTTGAGGAGATTTGTTGGGAAGTTTTGTTGCACCCACCATATAGCCCGGACTTTTCACCATCCGAATGACTATCTCGATTGTCAAAATTTGGACGACCGAAAAGCTGTTGTAAATTATTTGGCCAAATGTTTCGCGGACAGGTCACACAAGTTCTAGATAGGTGGAATTATGAAACTGCCCCACAAATTACAAAAGGTCACAGGCCGATAGCCCAAGCTGCTAGTTGCCTTTTATGTAATGTAATTATTAATAATTATATTTCACTCAAATAAATAAATAAATAAATAAATACAAAAGGTCATAGATAATAATGGCAATATGTACTGATAAAAATTAATTGACAATAATTTTTTTTCAAAAATATACATAAAAAATTATTATTCTGCTATTTCAAATAAACGATTATTTTACCCTACATTAAAACGTTTTTTTTTTTTTTGAGGAGAGTTTTATATCTTTCTGTGATAGATATGTTAAATATTCACTTCATTATTTTTATTGATATACTTCTTTTTTTGTATCTAGTTCACGTATGCTTGTTTTGATGTTGATGAGGATGCATATTAATCCCTTTTGGACTGAAAAATCTTTGAAACTATTAGCTCGAAGAACAAGGGTTAGGAACGTTTATTTCCTATCATTTTGATCAAAAACGACCAAACGTCAATAGAGTACAAATGGCATATTCACCACACGTTATAACAGTGCTGTCCAAACTTTTTTTGGCATGGCCACAGTAGTGGCCAACAGATCTATTCAATGGCCACTCTTTCCAAAACCTAAGAAAAACAGAGAAAACAAGTCGAAATTCCGTTTTTGCTTTTATTTTCGATTGGTAATGCGGCATAAGAGATTTTTATATTTTCTATGGGTTAAAAATAACCGAAACAATGATTGTTTATTTAAAATTAATGCGATGTTATTTTTTTCTGGCAATTTATCAAAGTCTTGCTTCTGGATGAGTTCGGAGTTGCGATATTGCACTGCGGTATTTATTTTTCGATCGAGACTTGAGAATGATTATTCACAAGCTTATGTGGAACCAAACATGCATAAAAACTTTGGTACAATGTCTTTGAGTGCCAAGAAATTACATTCAGATAACAAACGCCTCCACAATGTGTGTCACTTTCTTCATTTATCAACGAAATATCGAATTCCAAATGAGTTTTCTTTGTTCCGAAAACATCTGACAATTTTTGAATATCAATATTTGGGTCGCAAGCGAATGGGTTTTTGAGTAATTTGAATACCAACTGAAACCTTTGGAAATCCTCAAATATCAATATACTGAATGAAAATGTTCGTATCGTAAGCTAGCTCAAATTCTTCATTATATTGATTTGAGTCTAACATTGGGAAGAAAGTAAAATCATTTTCATAAATTTAGTTTTAGCTTACGATGTCTCATTGCTTTGCAATCAAGATTTGACATGATTTAACGAGCGCTGCCGATTCAACAAAAACTAAAATATATCGAAAAGCTAAATCATAAATTTTTCAAAAGTTTATATTTAGGAAAATAAAGCACAGTTCGCAAAAAAATATGTCAGCATTTTCATGCCTTTGCTCTATTCAACTCTCTCGTATCCAGAATGTTTACGATATTTGGGATTTTCTCAGCGTGATCGTTAACATTTTTTGTACCATTTAATGATAAATACATATTATTGTCATTGAATTAGTTCATAGGTCACAACTTATAACAAATCAAATAACAATACTTTATTCATGACTAGTTTAAGTGACTTGAACATTTTGACCCATTTCAAAAAGGCTACGCAAACTAGAATACAAATGCAATTGTAAGAGTTTTTAACACAATTGACAATGCAAAGAAGTGCAATCAAGACGAGAGAAATGTATACAATTGCATTATCCTTTAATTTACTCAACACCTTTTTATATACATACATAGCATGCGAATAGCGAGTAGGTAAAATCAGATGCACAAATCTATCATTCAAAAGGCGAAAGATGCACAGTGGGGAATAATCGAGTCAGAAATGGTCGCGTTATGGCGATAAAATTTAGAAACAAAAAGTGGTTAGTGCTTAAAATTATATAGATAAGTGAATAAAACTAGCATGAAATTTATATATAAATATATACGCATGTATATTTAGTCGGTTATGTGTCAGGTTCAAGGGCAGTATTTAAATAAAATGTAAATAGAACCACTCAGACCTAGAGTAATACATAAGACTATTGTATTATAAAAATATATATTTACGAATGTACACTTGAAAAGAAGTTTTCAAAGGTTTGCAGAATTACCCAGGCTACTCTTATGGAATGCAAATCTACTAAACGAGCCGGCATTGAGGCAGTCGCTGAGACATTGCTTAGTTAAAAGAACAAGAAGCCGCTCTTTATGTTTATCAAAGAAACTACAATTGATTTAAATTATAATTGAATAACAGTTTCAAAGCAATAAGTGCGGACGAAGCAACAACAACCACTATACAATAGAATAACAAAGACTGTGGTGCATACAACAACAAAATGGTGACTTGACGCAAATTGATAAATAAGCTAAAAAATGAAAATGAATAATAATAGAAAATACTTTATCGGCTTAAAGAAAATGTATATTTACGTATCTACCTAAGCAAATATAAATATGTAAGTATAATGCTACTGCAGAGGACAAGTGCCTTCAGCAAACGAGAATGCAATGTAAGAGGGTCAAAATGGGCTGAAAGTCAGTAAACAACGGCAACCTGTGAAAAAAGAGAGCAAATTACAAACTCTACTTTATACCATTTATAAGTTTGTGTGTCTATGTGGAAAAGACCGGCCGACATTTCCGGCCACATAGGCATAGGCAAGTCTAAGACGGATCAATACAATAATAATAAATATTCGGAAATGACGAGAGAGTAGTTCACACGCTTTTTTTAAATATCTGAGTGTTAAGAATGTGTTAATTAGGCTTGGAAGTCATTTGGAGATACCACAGTTTAGTAAACGCAGCGAATGAATGATGATGACTCGAACAAAAGATGAACTAATACTCGAATCTAAATGAAAGCCCGCCAAGCTAACTATTAAAATAAAATGCACTTAGAAATTTGAATTTATTTTTACTATTCACTCACAACAAATGAACAAAACTAACTGTGACTTAAAAATGCATTATACTA